CTTTATTTTATGATTGATACCTTTCATCAACTTTATCCTTCAAATCACTGATTCGAATCTTGGCACAGTCATATTCTCATATAATTTATATATTGATTATTAAAACTGCAAAATCGTTAGCTGCTGAGATAATTCCCTAATTTTATCTCCTTGAGAATTAAAATTCTCCTCCTTGGACTAAAATTCCCCTTCTCCAAATTTAAGATGAAAATTGACCCCTCCTACAAGGTAGCCTTGATGGGGTCACTCCCACAGTGGGACAGACTAACCCAAATGTATCTGAACCACAGAAGATGACAAAGCTTAAGCAGAAGCCTGCTTAAGCTAAATTTTTCTTAAAAATAAAATGAATACATTATTACAACGCTATTAAACCCAAGACACATGTAAAACAAAAGGATTCCTTTTAATCCATAAAATCTCTGTGCTCCACTCTTAGAAAGTAGTTTAACAACACCACAGTAATAGAAATAAACATTTTATGTAGTAATTCAAGATGAGTAAGGAGATAAATTCTCTTTGAGCATCATGAAATATAGGAGATATGCTAGCGGAAGTTTTAATTTCCACATTGTGAAAGGTCTCATTGTGTTGTATAGTAGACATTTCATCCAGAGACCAGATCAAAAAAGAAGGCCACTTTTCTCTCTCTTCCACAATCTCAGCATCTGATGAACCCTCTCCCACTTCTGCCCTTCCCTGAGCTTAGGAACTAGACACAGTCGTAACTGATGCAGCACGCTGGAGGCCAGCACAAGATGAGGTGGGGCCTTGTGTGTCAGAGGGGACAATGGGAGGTTGAAGACTATCAGGAAGGATAAAGAAAAGAAAACGGAAGAGGACCACCTGAGGATGGAGGGATTTCTCTGTTGACTGCAGCGACCATAGGGGGCAACGTTCAGCCCCTGTGCCCATGAAAAGAGCTTGGAGAGAAGTTGCATGGATTGACTTCCAGCTACAGCCTTAAACTCCTCCAGACTCTGCAAAGATTGGCTGATTTTGCTTCAACAAGAAGTCAAGTACTGACTAAACTTTCTCCAGGATCCCAGAGAGACATTTCTTTTCTTTCACTTCACAAGAAAGCACTATTTCCTGACTTACATACAAAAGCTCGGAAAATGAAATTATAATAAATCAAAACAAAAATTCTTCCATAAAAGGGGAATAAATAGCAACATTACAGTGGAGGAACCTGGCAAACACTACCTTAAGCAAGTGATGAAGGTTCACATCATCTGTGATATCATGTTATCCCCCATGGTGTTCTATCCAAAAATCCATAACCCCAGATGGACCATAGAGAAAATCAGACAAACCATAAATGAGGGACATTCTACAGAGGAACTTACCATTATTTCTCAAAAAGGTCAAGATCATGAAAAACAAAGATTGAACAACTGTCGCAAACTGGGGAAGACTACAGAGATATGGTGACAAAATGCAATGTGGTATTCTGAATTTTATCTTAAAACAAAACAAAATAGTCATGGAAAATCTAGTGAAATTTTAAAAAGGCTAGAATTCCAGTAAAATGCCAATAATTTTTTTTTAGCTCTTACAAATAAACCATGTTAATATATGATGGTAACATTAGGGGGAACAGAGAGATATATGGAGCCTCTATACTCTCTTTGCTGATTATTTTGCAAATCTAATAAAAATTGCTAAACGTAAAGTAATTCCAAAATTAAAAAGTTTATTTAAAAACTCTTCCCATAATCAAAAGAGTGCAATTCACCTCTCCTTAGCTGTAAGCTAAATGCACTTGAATTATTTCCCCTTCAGATCCAGTTACCTAGAAAGACAAGAATACCAGGAGTATCAATGCTAGCATGTTATTTATTACTCATACCATGAAGCACAACTATTGTCCCAGCTGGGGAGCAGTTTCCTAGAGACTATTTCTCTTTCTGTTGATTTCCTCCCCTCCATATTCATAGTTATCTGAAAGTTTAAACAATATATTGAGAACTTTGAGGTTTTTTTCCCTGAGTTTGAGCTTTCTTAATGTTTTTCTTTTATTAATAGCAATTCTTTGAATGCCTTCACTGACTCTTTGGGGTAATGCAGCGAGCTTGCCACCACTACTCCAAGTAAATACAAACAGTCTCTGAAATGGATTCTCTGTGCAAAAACTGAGTTTTTCAAAGGACATGGGACACAACTGGACACCCACCTTCATTCCTGCCCTCAGTCAAGTCCAAACAGGACAGTGGGTAGAACAATGGCAGACAGATAGCATCAGTTCCTTTGCCAACAAAAAGTGCAAGAAACAATATTTCCCCTTCCCCTGACATTTGATGGGAAATCAAGTGTCAAGAATGAAACTGAGTGAAAGGAGAGGGTGTTTGGGAAAGGAAGGAGGAGAAAAGGTCTAAGCTGAGCCAAGGGTCTTGCTCTCTTGCCTTCTTCCTTTGCAGGGACACATGCAAGGGAAGGAAATGGGCCATTAGCATTCCTGACAAGCCCGAGATAATTCCCATCAGCCATGGTCCCGTCACTGTTGGATGGGCCATTGGAAGTGGACTGTGTCCTCCCTGTTTTGGAAGTCCGAGGAGGGGGCTTGGGCTCCAGCCAGACCCCTTCTGGCCATCACTGCATCCTGCCTTGGACTGCAGCAAGAGAGAGAGTAGAATTTTCCCTAAGACACCAAGCTGCCCACAGTTAGGTAGGCATTCATGTGATCTCCTTGATACGGGGCATGTAAAAATTATATAAATAAGTTTAGATCAATTTAAAAATCTCTTACCAAATAACACCTTGCTTTACCAGAAAGAGAAAACATGGTGATGCCTAATTCCTTTCTGAGCATTATTTGTTGAACGCTTTCTTAGTTGGATATCAGAAGAACTAAATTCTGAAACTTTTCACAAAATAGTTGCTCAGAAAATAATAGGAGCTGATGATTGTAAAAATGCATTTAAAAGTATACTACGGGTTCTTGATTGAGGGGCTAATGTTTACCACTTACTGAGTGGCACATGACAAGAGGCATGCCTTAGGTGGATGGCCAAACTTAGAGGTGAAGGATAGTGTGGATAAATTTCCTATCGATTCAAACAAAAAGGAAAAGTACATCTGTGAGTCATTACTTATATAAAAAGCATAAGGCAAATGCCACTATAAGTCATATAGTTATTAAAACTAAGTTCTACCTTGCTATTTCTATTACACACACATTTCTATGACTTACAGATCAATATCAGATAAGACTAAACCACATCAACTAATGCTGATAATCTCATTCTTTCATTGCGCACTGACAGCCACGGTGGCAAGGGCTAAGGGGTGTATCTTAAAATAAAAGAGCTTTATTATTTAATGAGACAGAGTTTATGTCCATAATGACAGGTAGACATACTTGGTGTCTTGGATGCCTTGATATTTACTATTGAATTATAGAAAATATGTCTTTTCTGGATGGTTATTTCTGGAGTTCATAACCCTGAAATACAGGGCTTCTTCTGGTTACTGAATTCCTTTGAAGCAAGTCCAAGATTACAATTCTAGCTAGAAAATAACCCAAATAAATAAATAAATAAAACAAAACTCAGAGGAATGGTTTGGGTCTTTGCCTTCCCTATGCTGACAACATTTTATTGCTTATATAAAAACTCAGGAATTGTACAAGTACTAAGAAAGAGCCCAGTGGACAATAGACCAGAGAAAAGGACCAGAAGATGAGGTAAAGTTTCTCTTTCAATCCCTGGTGAAAGCAATACAAACCTGGGGAACAGGCTCATCAGAACAGTTCAAGAATAAATTTCTACATTTTGCCAGTCCCCAGGAATGAGAGAAGAACTCTCAAAAATAGAAAGTTTAGAACACTTTTTGATTAATGTTCTATAAGGTACATGGAATCAAAGTAAGCACGCATTAAATGAAACAATCTAAAATCTGGAAAGATAGATAAGGGGGAAATTAAAAGATGATTTATTTTATTGATTTTTTAATTAAGAACCCCTGGGAAAAGTTGCAAATAGCAAATTTTATGCTGAATATATATATATATATATATATATATATATATATCAGAAAAGAAAAAGTATACAGGAATTCAGAGCATTTAAAGAGAAGGGAAAAAGAACTTTGAAACTTAGAAGCAAACAATGAGAAGCCAAGAGGAATATAGAGCATCTATACAAAATAGAACACACACTTACATGCGTGTAGGTGATATGTACATACCTTATATAAATTCATACTTAAAGTATGTGAAGTATGTACATACTATATAAGTATACACGCATATATATAAAGATATCTCAAAGGAAGGTAAAAAGACAGATCAAATATAATTATTAAAGGAATAATAGAAGAAAATATTCTTGAGTAAAAGCAAAAAAAAAAAACCCTTAATATGCTAATTAAAATAATTTTGCAGTCCTAGGCAAAATTAATAAAAAACAGAATTAAAACTGGAGATTCATCCAAGTAATATGTTGGCAATTCAAATATAAAACATAAATCCTAAATGGAAGTGGGAAGAAAAGGTAGGTGGATTAAAATAGACCCAAATCATAATAGCTTCATATATTGCCATCTGTCACACATGTGTCTGAATACAGAGAAACTACATTGTTTCTCCATCTTTTGGCTTAGATCAAATGTAGTAACCAAAACTACAGAGTTTGAGGGGAAAAGATCATGGCCTCCAAATTCTATACCCAATTATTCTGTGTGAGGGCAGAGGAAAAACATTCTTGGACTGGCAAGCACTCGAAACAGAGGCGATCCATGTGCTTTTGCCAAGTAAATTACTCTAAGTCACTCTACCTGAGCAAAAGATAAATCAATATAAACAACTCAAGAACGAGGAAGTTGTGGTAATACAGGATTGATGGTGTCCCTTTGGGCATTGTACTTTTTAGTCTGTATTGAGTTTTTTCCACCGCTTGACTAATAGCGGGGTATATGGCATGTGGCAAGCTCTTCCTTTTTAAGAGTGAAAGACACTGCACTTGTAAAACAGGACAAATGGTCTAGTCCCCTCCCACCAGCCCCAGAGGGAAAACCAAAGGAGAATTCCATCAGAACACAGTCATCCTTTTCATCTGCCTGAAGTGCGGTCAGCAAGGGTCTAATCAGAGTCAGCCCCAGGAGTGAGCCCCGGATCTCTCGCCGGCTCTTTGCAACAGGCCACACTGATCTGTCTGCAGCCCACTGAATTGGGAAACGAAAGAGCATGGTGTGGATGCTACGTCTGCAATTCTGTTCCTGTAGCTTCTTTATTTAAATAAAAAGTAAGCGCTCTCAATACAACTCATGCCATCAGAACCTGATTTTTCTTCCACTATTGCATTCTCTTTTACACATCGTGAACAAATTAAACGAGTGGGACAGTTAAACTTCATGTGAGAATTGTGTTAATATGTATGACGGAAGCCTCATTTTTCCCACTTTGACCCAAGTTTTCTTGTGCAGTATTCTTTCTAATCACTGGGAGGAGTTCTTGGTAGTAGGAAAATCTGTATTTGTATCCAAAACACTTATCCATTATACCAAAGACGACTGCTCTTCGATGGGAAACTTTTCCTAGTATTTTCAGTCCAGTGGCGATAATCTGCCTTTTGAATGGTGTTAGTGCACTCACAAGTGTTCCTTTCCAAAGACACATGTCACACTCAATCAAGGGCTGTAAAATAATGAGGCGATAAGAGTCCATACAGTGGGAACATAGAAGAAAATCCTTATATAGTAAGTCTTTTGGAAAAAAAAAAAAGTGCCCTTAACCAGTTTGGAAGGCATACAGATACCTTTCTACTTGATAATTCTTCCCTCAGCACTTATTCTGTAATCATCTCATAATCATGAAAATTTGGCATTTTAATTTCATCTCTAGGAGAAAAGTGTAGATGCTGGCACTGTGACAAGTACAACAGTATAAAAGGACAATTACCTTAAGCTCATACTTCTTTTTTACTTTGAGATTTCCAAGAAAGAACTACATTTTCAAGGTTCATAGCAGAAAAATGTTGCCGTGGCTTCATATGCATGGTCCTGCATTACATTAAAGGCTCTAAAAATATGTATGTTCCAAACTCAGTTTCTTTCCTCGGCTGTCTAAGCACCATTCATTCCTTTTCACTCATCCCACAAGGGTATTTGGAGCACCCACTGTATGCCGGGCACCATGGTGACTGCTGGGAAATAGTATGATACAGCAGTGGACCATGGGAGCTCTGGGCACAGGTGTTCTGGTTTCAAACCCCAGCTGCCATTTGCCTTATCCTATGGCTTTGGATGTGTTTCTTAACTTCTCCAAGTCTGATTTCCCCGTTTACGAGGTGAGGAAAATACCATGACCGACTTATCGGGTTGTTGGGAGGATTACAGGAAAGCATGCATGTAAGACATTTACACCATTATTATTTTTATTACGCCCACTTCTCAGCAGCTACATTCCACCATCTATACCCATTTCACCACCTATATTTCTAAGATGTCAGAAGCCCACATGGAAATTGCATTACTCAAAAAATAAGAATAAAAAAAGAAGCCGTCATTGCACCTTCTAAAAATGACTCAGCTTCTCTTTTATGTACTCTGTAAATCCAAGTATCTTCTATATTCTCAAGATCCATTATCCCTCTCAACTATACTTCGTACAGTATATCTGCAACAGCAGATACTGGCTCCAGTAAACACTGTAACCCAAGGAGTATAAACATGTCTGCAGCAATATTTAGAATGTCTACAGACCATCCCCCTAATTTGGCTGGGAGTTGTTCAGTGTCAGGACTAAATAGTTGGTTTATACCTCATGCCCACAAGAGACTCCAACAACAGGGTTCACAGCTAACTGCATAACGAGCTTTTTAAACTAGCTTTGGAAGAAAAGCAGCTGTGGCACTCACCCCTAGATGGGCTTATCAGGGTTTCTGTAACACCTGACTTGGTCTTTATGTAAGGACACTCAAAGTGGCTGTTACCTGGCAAGGACACATTGAACTGGGATGGCCTGTTCTTAAAAGCAGAGCAATGTCCTCATCGGGTGAAACAGGATTCAATTTGATCAAGTATGCAACTGTACGCTGGAACTGGCTCCAGCTAATGGTTAAATATTCAGGATTTTTGCAACCCGACTGTTGAATCTTTATTAGCTTGGCATTGGTCATGGTGAAAATATTTACATCATGAAAATCAGCAAATGCTACAAATCAAGACCTTTCCCTCCAAGGAAATCAGTTTACAACCATCCACTGAACTTCAGTACCTCCCACTTTGGAAAGTTCCAAACTGGGGTAGGTACCAGCAATACCTGGGGGAATTTTTTTTCTGTGCAAATACAGATTTTTGTCCTCAATACACAGTCTAATGAATTATATTCTCTACTGCTGACTTAAAATGTGTACTTAGGAAGGACTAATGTCACTACAAAACTAGAACTTATATTTTGAAAGCATTTATAAAAATGAAAATAGATATATGAATGATATTGGGGGAGGAGAATGAGAGTGAGAAGAGGATGTAACACCAAATAAACAAACAGTAAAATATGTAACTCTTGTAGGGGTCTTGCTAAAATGATAAAAAGTTGTCAAGATCCATGGCATTTAAATAATTCTATTCCCTGTACATGAGGCATGGAATGGGAAGTGGATGGAAGAAGCTTTTGTGCGAAGTGTGATATGTGTACACATTTGTAACACTGCAGACTATCAAAGGAAAAAACCTATGCTTGACATAGAGAAAGCTCTCAGAATATGTTTCTAGAATATGTAAGTGAGTGGCCGAATAGGTACATAGTAATAAAAATGGTTACAATAACTTTCATCTTTAGCATCATCACCATTAATAAGATTGCTTCAGATAAACATGAGACAATATCACTGCCTTGTTTGGAGCCCTCCAATGGATTTTCATCTCACCCAAGCTCACTAGCCTTGGCTCCAAGCCCGTCAGTCATGATGAGTCACCCACCTGACCCCCACTGCCTACTCCTCTGCCTCTTATTCACTTTGCTCTGGTTGCTCTAACTGGTTCTTCTCCTCAAATGACCCTCAGATTTTGCTCTCTCCTATCCAAGTACTGACCAGGCCTGACCCTGCTTAGCTTCCCAAATCAGATGAGATCATCTGTGTTCAGGGTAATATGGCCATGGATAGATTTTACTCTCTCTTCCTTTAGACTTTGCCTGGCTCATACTTTGCTTCATGTAGGTTTTTGCTCTAATGACATCTCAGGGACAACTTGCCTGGCTAAGCTACCTAAAAAGAGAACCCCCATCGTGTTGGCAATGTTTGATCTTCTTAACCTGTCTAATTTTTCTATATAGTGCTTATTGCTATATGACATTTGTTTATTCAATAATTTTTCACTGTCTTCATCTTTTTGTTGGATTGAAGCTCTATAAGGCTTAGAGACTTTGTCCATCTCATCTTCCACGGTACCCTTGGGACCCGTCAGAGTAGGATCTCATTAAATTTTTTCATGATTGATGAGTGAATGAGTGAATGACTTCATTAACAAAAATTCAAAAGTGATTGGCCAAGGGGACATGAACTAAAGGAGTATCCTAGTTTACTGAGGAAATAAACAACCCTGCTACCTACCTCCCTACCTAGCTCATGAGTCTGTGAGAGCTCTGTCATCTGAATTTCCAATTATTGTCCAGGTCCCAAGTAACAGAAATGTGACACATTCACATACATGATGCAAGTAACTACAATGTAATATGCCTAAGATGTAATTAGATATATTGCCCACTCCCAACTTCATTCCTTATCTTTCTTCATGACACTGGCAAAGTCAAAAAATGGGGTATCATCCTGGACTTTCCAATTTATCCTTCCCGCTGCCAGCCTCAAAGGTAGCATTTTGAGATGAAAATAATCATGTTATTTCCTTGGCAAAAAATCCTTTGGTACTTGTAGGTTAAAACCCAGCCTGCTCAAGAAGGCATCAAGGATACCTTTATTGTGACTCAGGTCTACTTTCCCAATTTTGTCTCCAACCTTACATCCTCTCTTCCTGCCACGGACTAAATTCTTTACTCCAAGCATGTTGATTCCGAGTTTCAGTTTCTTGGATCCTTCATGTGTATCACTGTCACCATCTTTACACCTTCTGCAGCCTTTGACTAGATTGCCCGGCCTCCCCGCTGCCTGGCATCCAAACATTCTTCCCCAGCCCAGCGTTGTCTCCAGTGGGAAGCCTTTTCTGACACCAACAAGCCAATTTAGTTTCCTTCTCTTGATATGTCCTTTGGAAAGACAAGAGAGGCCCCTGGTTCTAACACAGTTTCCCTCTTGAAAAGGCTTCAATAAGAGTGTTAATCTCCAAGGTACACATATTTAACCCCTATCACTGAGCTGGCTAAATATATAAGGGAATTCTTTGCAAATGCTGAGAAGAGAGAGCCAAAGGCCTAATTAATTTTTCAACACTGAAGTCTGAGTTTTACAGTTTGTCCCTTTTTTATGATAATAAATTTCTCTAAAATAAGCAAGGCCTAGTGATTGGGCAAGGAGCCAGGAACTCTCACTTGGCAAAGAGTTTTCTTTTCTTGGGCTACGTGTATGTGGAGAACAATGCCACAGGTCAAATGTCAGCGTTAGCCCAGTCCCCTCCCACTTGAGAATATAGGGCTCCCCTCTGTGCTATCTGCCAAAAGACAGCTGAGGATGTCCCTCTGGCTCTCCCTCCACCGTCCATAAGCACTTTGGGCTGTGTTGTGTGCCAATACTTTCAAATTCAATTCACAAACTTGTAGAATTGGTGATTTGGGAGTAACCCTAGAAGTTATTTATTATGGTAGTTGTTTACTTATTCTACAGCTAAGCATTTCCTATGCCTCTAACACCGGCTTTCAGCCCATTCTTAAATTTTATCCATTCATAGCTGGTCAGAAAGATAATATAAATACCTACAATTTCTTCTATCCCTATTCTGGAAGCAAAAAGAACTCACGTATCAATATGTCAAGAAATCGGACTTGCAACTGTAAGTTGCAGTTGAGAATAGAGATAACCCCTGTCCTGTTTCTAAGTGCTCAGGTGACATGCACCCCACTTAGGCTCTAGGCTGCTGTCTAGATGGGAAACATCATGATGTGGCATTGGTCAGTGAAGGGAAGGATGCTCACTGAAGTCCCATATACCTAAGCCTCTGGGAAAGCTGAATTCTCTTTTTGCTTCAAGTATTAGTTTTCTATTTCTGTGTGACCTCAACTTTAGCAACTTAAAATGTCACAAATATATTATTTCATAGTTTCTAGAGGTCAGAATTGTGGGCACACACAGTATAACTAATTTTCTCTGCTCAGGATCTCTCCCAGTAGAAATCAAGGTATTAGCGGGACTGGGGTTCAC